GATTGAGTTGACCTCACCCATGTATTTTTGGGTTTGCCCATCACACCCCTGTCTACCTGCTGCCCAAATATGGCTGTCTAGACTTCGTGGGGTGGCTTATTCATTGAAACTGCATGGAAACCCTCAACAGCTAGTAGTGGTATAAAAATATTCTTCTTCAGGTCACACAGGCCTGGGTGTTGGTTTAGAGCTAGAATAAAACTTCTGAGGAAGTATCTCAGCAAATAGACTCCATCTCTACCACTAACTCCCAGGACTTCATTTAGCTGCCTGGAGCCTTCTGATGACAAGAATAGGAGGTCATGCCCTGGCTCGTTGATTAGTGATGTCTGCACTTGTGCTTTGTGGTTACAAAACAGTTGAACAGGCTCTCATTTTACAGATAAGAAAAACGAAAACCCTGCAGAGCCAGAGTCGAAATGAAAATCCAGTTCTGACTTACGTTTGGTCACACTTGCTGTCATTATATTACCAAAGCTCAAAAACGGACTAAAAGCCCACAATCCCTTATCAACGATTCTGAAATGTCAGAAAATACGCAACCCTGAGAGGAAAATCTAACTTGAAAATAACATGAGGCTATTTACAGAATTTATAGAATTTTTTGATTACAGAGTGTTACCCCAAATTGTGCCAGGTAGCATTATATATTATATAGTACAAGCACAGCATTTATTTTATAAAACCTCCAAAAATCTGAAATCTGAAACACATCCGGCCCAGATATTTCAGATAAGGGATGGGAGGCCTATACTACTGAGCCCACTACCTACAGGGTTGTGATAGGTGTAATGGCCCCAAAAAATATCCACACCCTAATCCCCAGAATTTGTAAATATACTACATTTCACAGCAAAGGGAACTCTGAAGATGCTATTTACAAGCAATTTATTTAAAACAGGGAGATTATCCTGTAGGCCCAATTATTCTCACGAGCCTTTAAAAGCAGAGAACTTTCTCCAGCTGGAGTCAGAGAGATAACAACAGAAGAGGAAGCCAGAGAGAGTCTAAGCAGGAAAAGTACTCAATCTTCCATTGCAGGAGAGGGCCACCTGGAAAGCAAGAGAAGGAATGCGGGCAGCCTCTAGGAGCAAAAACTGTCCCCTGGCTGACAGCCAGTCAGGAAAGCGGACTGTCAGCTGTTTCATTTGGCTAACAAGCTAGGTAAGCTTGGAAGCAGATTCTTCTCCAGGACCTCCAGATAAGAGCCCATCATGGCCCACACCTTGATTTCAGCCTTGTGAGACCCTAAACAGAAGACCCAGTCAACACTGTGCCACACTTCTGACCTGAGGAATGGTACTGTGTTAAGCCATGAAGTTTATGGTAATTTGTAACAGCAGCGGAAAGAAACTAATACACGAGACAAGTCAAGCCTGATTCTTTTTCCATAATGTGGCCTCTTGATATCTACTCAAAATTACTTTACCTGAGCCCCAGCCAAAGTACTTTATCCCCATCAGAACATTCTCCACCCTATATCGCCCCACACAGGAGGCTCTGCCCTTTCTTGCCATAGACATTTTGCTGGCTGGGACTGCAAATTCCTTTACCTCTAGGCCTCTCCTCCAGTCTAACAAGCCACGCCCTCCACACCCGCCTTCCAAAACAAACCAGTCCAGCAGGCCACTCCTCACTTGGAACTTGATGCAATCCTGCCTTACTCACTGCTAACTGCTTCTCTCCTTTCCAGTGGGGTTAAAACTCCTGAAAGATGAAGACCCTGTCTTATGCCTCTCTCATAGTGCCATAGTTCCTATCATCACACCGATTAAACTCTTGATGAATATCTGCTCAGGGAATGACTGATCCAGCCACACCAGCCCAACAGTGCAAGGTGCTGAAGTGTGCAGCCCCTGGGAAGGAGGCCATCAAGCAGAGGAGGGAAGAAGACTTCTAGTGTTCCTAGTTAAAACAACCCATTAGAGCTGTACTGGGATTTGCAGTTTTCAAAGCATTTCCAAATACATAATCTCATACCATTTTTACCAAAAGACTCGTGAGCTAAACAAGGCAGACATTTTTAATCCTCAGTTTTTTGCAGATGAGAAAACAGAGGTTCCAGAATGTTATGAGATTTGCCCAGACAGCCTGGATAACAAACCCTGCTGCACAGAAACTGTTCTAAAAATCTAAGGCATACTGAGAGAGAGAAGCAGCACACTAGTGCTGGGAGCTCTGGCAAAACACCACCGAGATGTAACTGGTTCAAGGTAGGCAGGCAGGTAGATTTAATCTTGTCTGTTTCTCCACTGCTTCCTCACTCCCTCCCCCTTTCCTGTTCTCCATGGTTTTTTTCGGGGTTTTTTTTGAGTTGGAGTCTTACTCTGTTGCCCAGATTGGAGTGCAGTGGCCGCTCCTGGCCACCGCAGCCTCGACCTGCTGGGCTCCGGCGATCCTTCCGCCTCAGCCTTCCAAGTAGCCGGAATTACAGGCATGCGCTACCACGCCCAGCTGTTTTTTTGATTTATTGTAGAGATGAGGTCTCGCTGCCCAGGCAGGTCTCGAACCCGCGGGCTCAGGCAATCCACTCACCTCAGCCTCCCAAAAGCGCGGTATTACAGGCTGAGCCATCAAGCCCGGCTTCTCCATGTTTTCTTATGGAAAACACTTTTCCGTTTAATGTAAAGCTAAGAATGTCTGGGCCTAAAGCATTCTCTAAAGAAAAAAGAGCCCCCAAATTCAAATCCCAGCAGTGTGATCATTAAGCTACCAACGTGATTACCCTCCCTGGGGTGGACCTGAAGTTAGAGAACCCGGGTCAGAGCCCCAGCTCTATCTCTGAAGCAGGCTTTTGCACAAACCATTAAACTGATTCTCCCACTCAGAACACAGAAATAAAAATACCTGTTCCACAACTCCTACAGTGTTGTGAGGATGGAGTGAAATAATGAATGGAAGTCATATGAATGCTGTACAGGGCTATACATAGCTAAAATGTCAAATTCCTCACCCCAACCACAATCACCCCAATGACCAGCACCGGGACAAATCTGCCTGTTTCACCAAATAACAGCCCAGGCTCCCACTTATGCTCCTACAGGGTGTTGCCTTCTTCCCTCAACGTGACCTTGGCATTCTATTAATCTGATTTCATCTTACTCAAAATACTAGTGGGTAAAGAGGGAGAATAATGAAGAAGTAACTGCAGGATTTGCCCCTGGTTCTACACAGGCTCAAAGGGGGGCCCTGCCTCTATGTCTGCCTCAATCCTTCAGTAAGATAACCGGAACAGAGCTGAAAAAACACCGGTTAACAAATGCAGAAGTTCTACTCTAATGTTCATAAGACTGCATACTCTTATGTTCAACCCCCAACTCTGATATTCTTCCATTATTAACTGGATGACTTCCAGCAGCAACTGGCAAATAAATATAGATATAAGGGCCACTATTAACTGAAAGCACCACCTCCTGAAAGTAACTGATTCTTCCACAAGAGCTTCCACAATGCTGAATGTGCATCAAAATTTGGGTTGAATTTAACTTTCACGTGCTCTCCAAAGCCCTTGGGAGATTTTAGATCACAGTGGTAAAAAGTACCTTTGAATTCAGGTCTGGAGTACTTTACTAGAATATGAGGCACAGTTTCTAGTGATGATCTGTCATGTGCAAATTTATTACTAATCTACTAAGACTACTTAAGTAAATTTCTTTCTGATTTTCCTTGAATATTGTTTATAATCCTGGAAGACTAATTCTCCTTTAAATCCTTCCTAGTTGTTCAGACAAATATTACGACCACTAACTTCAATAAAACCTGCCTGATGATTTTTATTTTTATAATAGATCTAAGCCTTGAATACGCAATGGAATTTTAAAGACATGTCAACATCCTTCCAGATATTGTATTTGAAACAAATTATAGCTGAAACCTGGAAATCTGTACTGCATGAACCTAAGTTGCATTTTGGAAACACATGGTCCAGCCTCGGTTTCGTGCCAAAGTTCTCCTCTAAAGGAGAAGGTCTGGGACATGGTGATGAATTCTGCTTTAAGGGTGTCAAAGTTATGATGAGAGTGGGGATTAAAAGCAGATGTGCACAAGTGAGGACATTCTAACTCTGTGATTTGGGAGTGAATCACTTAATCTCTTCGAATATTAGTTTATTCACCTGTACAAATGAAATGATAATACTTGCATTGCCTACTTCACAGGAATGTTGTGAAATGAAATGACACTGAGAAAAAGCTTTGCCAATTCTAAGTCAAATTGTATGTACTTTATTCCTTCCTTTAAAATATCGTTTTAGAGAAGGGGTCTCTCTCTGTTACCCAGGCTGGAGTGCAACGGTGTGATCAGAGCGCACTGCAGCCTCGACCTCCTGGGCTCAAATAATCCTCCCACCTCAGGCTCCTGAATAGTTGGAACCATAGACACTTGCCACCACACCTGGCTCATTTTTTTTCTTTTTCTTTTTTTTCTTTTTTTTAAAAGATGGAATTGCTCAGGCTGGTCTTGAACTCCTGGCCTCAAGTGATCCTCCTGCCTTAGCCTCCCAAAGCTCTGACATTACAAGCATGAGCCACTGGCCCTGTATGTGCTTTATTCTTATGTATGAGATCAGCTTGTATCTACCACTACCACTACGAGTAGTCTGGGAAATCCTGATGCCTTTCAGCTAGATTTACCTTCTCTTTTAATATCAGTTTTTCCGGAAAATTTCACGGAAAAAGTCTGCTAACCTCTCTTATAACAGAAGACATACAAAGGGGGTGGGGGATGGACCTGAAAATATCTTACCATGCCAAATTCCTAGAGTTCTCTCTTAGTACCGTCAGTCCCACAAAAAGAGGTGCTTCGTCTTTTTCAAAAAGTGGCAGGTAGTAACAAATCCCCCAAAATGAAATGAGCAGCAGGACCTTAACACTGGGAGGTATTTTTCCCAGAAAAGCCAGTGTGAGACCCCAATGCTCAGTCACATTTGTCTCAATGGCCCCCATATCTTTTTGTCCCCCAGTGATGAAATTCTGCACCATTTACAGATATGAAGGACTCACTTGAACTTTCTCTTCCTCCAGGGTTGGTGCTGGGATCGATCCTTTCCCTAGTTCCTCCTCTTTGGCCGCTTTCTTGCAGAGGTTCTGAGTCACCCTGTTATTTGATGTTTGTAGATCATAGTACTGTGGTTTTGTCTTCGGGCTATTGGTGAATTCTTTAGATTGCATTTTTCTGAAGAAAAACAAAAGTGAAACTCTCAGAAACATTCTTCAACTGGGATGGCTTTTTCCAAAGCTGATGTCTACATTTGAATTACGTGAAAAACAGGAATAGATGCCATTCGCTGAGTGCTTATATCAGGCCCTGTGCTAGGTACTTGAAAGACATTAACTTAATCCTCACAGCAACCCTATGAGAAAGGTATTGATATCCTGACTTTGTTATAAGACTCAAAGACATTGTATAATGTATCTAAGACCACAGAGGCACAGTCAAGATTGGAACCCTGGTCTACCTAACTCTGGTTTAGAAGCTGAACGTTAGAACATGTTGCCTCCTTATGATCAGATAGCAACAAATTCCTTTGTCTTCAATGTCCATTGATAGTTTTAAAGTTACAGGTGTTGGTGAGTAACATCCCCAGCCCTGGAACTGAACTGAGGTCCTCATGTCATTGCAATTTCCACTTCACCAGTTCAGAGTAGGGCTGTCAACACTACTGCCCAGAGTCAAGAAAAGGACCCCAAGAGAAAGCAGGCTTAGCAAAGGCTCTCGTGGGCATCCAGCAAAGGAGCTCCATCACCTGCCTCAGTTTCCCTCCACATTACCTTCCTACCTCTCCATATTGATTATGTCACTTCTTTATTCAAAAACCTTCTCACTGCACACAGAATAAGGTCCAAACTCTAAAATCTGGTCTTTGAGGCAAATTAGAGCATGGCTCCTGTCTCCTACCACTCACCCAAGTATACCCCAAATGCTCAGAACTCATAATTCCCCAAATAACTATCCATAGTCAGGCTAGGGGCCTTGATTATGTCCTTGGCCTGAACTTTCTTTCCTGACCTTCTGTAAACAACTCCTCTTCCAAGGTTCAGTTTAGATTTCACCTCTTCCGTGGTGAAAACACAGGTTCTGTGTGTTAGAATTCTTCCGTGGTCAGAATGATAGGCTCCTCCCTGTACTTGCTTAATTCTCTGTTTATACCTTAATTATAGCACAAATCACAGCCTGCATGCACTGCAGCTAGTTGTATATCTGCCTGTTGCTCTTCTAGACTGGAAACTGTTTCCTGTTCATCTCTGAATTTCCAGTGCCTCGTGCCGTGGGAACTCCTAAAGGGCCTGCTTACTCAGCTGCCCATATCTAAGCCATCTTCTTCGAAGGCCTTAAGAGCCACTGCATCTCTCACATCCATTTCTGATGCTCAGCTGTGTTGGTCTGCACTGCTCTAACACAATTCTAGCACAACCAACGGTGATTGATCAAGTGGGGAACTTGTACATTCACACAGATCAAAATGAAATGACAGCGAGGAAAGAAGCAGAAGAGTTGCCAGTACTGTAAGAATGAAGGTCTTGGCCAAAAATCTAAAAAAAAGACAAAAAACAAAATCCTTCCAGAGAGATCCACAATGATTTTTGTGACCGTCGAATCCTACCCCACTCTCCTGCCAGATACTGGGGACAAGAGGCATAACTGCAGTGGTTTGTAAAGTCTGGAGATGGATGCTGGTCACCGCTAGGAGAGAGAGGGAAGGAGGAAGAATGGGGAGCACACAGCAACACACTGGGTGCCAGGTCCACTATCAAGGAGATGAGGCCCATTTGAAGTCCAAACTTCACCTGCATGCAACTTACTTATGTAGTAAATCCTCACATGGACCCCATAACTTTAAAATAAAATAAATAGTAGCAACAATAATAAAGTCTGGAGATGTGTAAAGTCTCGTAGGTTTGCAGATCTCATACCTGAGCTCTTTCTCCTCCTGCTCTGCCTTCAGCCGGGCCCTCTCGGCAATGATTTCATTACAGAGCGCATCGTAGGGTTTGTCTAGAGGGTGTTCACCCATCACCCATACCCAGACTTCCTTATCAGCTCCCAGTTTCCAATGGACAGATTTGCCATTGTCTGCAAACAAACACACAAAAAGTCAGACTGAACAAAATCTCTTTAGTCACAGATTACTCTGTTTCCCATCGCGAAAGAAAATAGGCAAAAACTTTTCTCTGGGGAAAAAAACATCAGATGAGGCAAATCACTTCCAACTGCTCAGGAACAAGAAGCATCCATAGGTAGCAATGGTCGTGGTGGCAGAGGGTAGCAGCTGCAATAGAAGTATTTGTATTTGTTTTTAAAATACTACAGGTATGGTTTTTGCATGTGCCTGTTTTGCAAATGAACAAACCAATGGGAAGAAAGCGGTCACTGTTTGCATTATCCTTTAGGATAACAGGACTTGCATCAGATACCTCTTAAGCCTGACAGTCTCCCTGTAACCCAGAATTCCACAGCTGCTCAGGGGTTTGGTGTCTCCATTGTGTTCCCAGGGAGACATTTTAGAGGCAGACCAGCCTGAGTTCAAATCCTAGCCCTGCCACTTACGAGCTATGTGACTTGGACAAATTACTTGATGTTTTTTAAGATTCAATTTCCTCATCAGCAAAATGGGAATACTAATATCTACTACATAGGGTTGCTGTGAGGAGTAGGCAGGCTACCTATGCCAAGTTCTTCCCCTAGAGTCTGCCACATAATAGGAGTTCAATAGAGGTTAACTGCTATCATCCCTAGCCTATTATTTACTTATATGGCAGCCTCAGAGATTCACACCAGCTTGTGAGAAGATAATACTACCAGGTAGTGTGATACTCCCAGAAGCTACTTAAATAACCCTTGTTTACAATTAGCCTTGAGGATTGGATTACATTCTAGTGCTCCTGAAATGCGGCCACTGGGGTCATGATCTCTGAAACCAGGGGCAGGTGAAGTGTAGCGAGGAGAGGTCAAGAAGGACAGTCCCTAAATCTGTCAGACCTATCAGGGTCACTGTGGTCCAAGACTGGATTTAGCAAAGACCCCAAACCAGCCGTGGTGCTGAGTATATGCAGCAGGGCACCCGCTTTGGTGCCCTGTTTGATGGGTAAGACAGCCACACTGGGACTTGTCTTCCTTCCTACACTATGTAGAAGAAGGTTTCCAACGAAAGTGTCTTCTGCCCAATGCATTGTTGATCTCCCTCATACTGTGGTCTCAGCATACACTATAAAAGCAGGCTGCTCAAAGCCAGGCTTGAGCTTGTTTTGTTTTGTTTCTTTCTTTCTTTTTTTTCCCCTTATTTTGACTCAGGAAGGTACATGTGGCTTATTACCCAGAAATATTGTGTGATGATGAGGTCTGGGCTTCGATTGAGCCCATCACCCAGGTGGGGGACATGGTACCCAGTGGGTACTTTTCACCCCCTCTCCCCTTCTCCCTTTCGGATTGGACTTTTCTACTTTTCTCAGTGCCATGGACACTTCTGTAGTATGGTAAAGTTCTAAACAGAGAGACATTGGGTGAGGGGAGACAGACTCTTGGCCTGCACTACAAAAGGATTCACACTTACTGTTTTCACAAGCAGAGAAATAGCAAGAGTGGGTCCCAGGTAGAGAGGAGAAGATGGATCCCAGCATGCCCGCATGGGGCTGGGCACCAGTGCCAGCCCTGGCAAGCTCCTGCTGTTTGAGGCAATGCCAGATGGTTCATTAACTCTAGAAAGCTGTCATACCTCATAAAACTCCCTTTATGATACTCTCTCAGGGCAACTAATAATATTTTTATGATATCCCTCTCTCAGCCTTCACCTAAGTAGCTCTCCACCGATAATTTTTTGACAGCAAGAGGAAGATGCCCAAAGAGGATGGTGGCAGAGTGCCAGAGAAAGCAAAGAGGAAGAGCCCAGAGATTCCGGCAGCTCACCTAGGGCAGGCCAAAACAGCCTCCAGAGAGCACGTGGGCTGCAGGTGGGTAGCAGTAACTCTCAGGGGAGGGAGGCACTGCCTGGATCAGGGAGAGAAATCCTAGAACTCTAGCTGAACAGAGAAGGGGGCTTAGAAACCAACTGTAGAGAAGAAAGACAAAGGAGAGGACCAGAGTCCAGAAATTTCAAAAGGAAGGGCATAGTGAGAGTATAATGAAGATAAAGAAAAAGTGGCTCTCGGTCAAGAAGAAAGAAAACGAGATGCAAAATGTCAGATTTGGCAAATGCACAAGAAGGGGCTCCTTGCAGAATGGCATTGACAATGACCTCTGTTCTGACTACTCCTCACTTCAAGAGCTCTTCAAGGTGGTCAGAAACCAAGGATATTGGAGGAGCTTCATGTGGTTCCACACAACTCCCTGAATTGCGGGAGCATGGAGAAGTCATTCTAGTATAAAGAGAATTTGCAATAATACCCTCAGCTTCACACCCAGATGAGGGAATGGTCACCAAGGAACTTCTAATTCATTCCACACAGTAGAAATGGAGTTTTTGTTGTTGGTGGTTTGTTTGTTTACTATGAACAAGATGTAGAGCCAGATGCTGCAGATGACACAGGGATGAGAGTAATCTAAAAGTAATCTAGAGTCTATGCAAGAAAGGCATTAGATTATTTTTTCTTTTCTTTTTTTCAGTTGCAGTCTCACTTTTGTTGCCCAGGTTGGAGTGCAGTGGCATGTTCATGGCCACTGCAGCCTTGACCTACTGGGCTTAGGCAATCCTTCTACCTCAGCCTTCTAAGTAGCTGGAACTACAGACGCATGCCACCACACCTGGCTAGTTTTTTTGGTGTGTGTGTGTATGTGATTTATTGTAGAGATGAGGTCTCACCAAGTTGCCCAGGCTGGTCTCGAACCTCCGGGCTCAGACAATCTTCTTGCCTCGGCCTCCCAAAATGCTTGGATTAAAGACTGAGCCACCGCACCCAACCTAGATTATTTATTGAATGCACTTTCACCACGTATCTACTATATGCCAAGCACTGAAGCAGACACAGGGAAGCACTTATAACAAGACAGCCCAGTCCTTGATCTCAGAGAACTTACATTCTAGCTGGAGGAGGCAGATATTGGACAATTAATTCATTATAAAAGTAACATGACTTGGAAGGGGGATGTTAAAGAATGCTTTGGGAATGCTTAAGAGAAACTCATCTAGTCTGGCCTCTGGAGAGTCAGAGGAAAATATAATAAAGCCACAATATATTTTCTATTAAGTCCAGTAAGTATTCAAAGGATGGAGAAATTGCTTTGGAAAGACAGAGTAACAAGATTAAGTTATTTGTATTGAGTTTGGGAAGATGGATATGGAATTTAGACAGAGGATAAGGGTGAGTTTGATGCTGGTCACAAAAATAGCATGACCAAAAAAAATTAGGGAAGGTTATCAGTGAAGGGGCCAGACTAGATGACAATACAAAATTAGGGTCTCACTTGGATGAAAGGGGCACCAGAAGTCACACGTATGTCACAGGCTGCCAGTCACACAGGGAAGGAGAGGGACATAAGGCACAGGGTCCCGCACACCTAGCTAAAGGACTAAAATGTAGGCCCCACGCTGTTGGGCCAGAAAACTGTATTAAAATCCCAGCTTTACCTCTGATCAGTTACAAGATGACGCATATACCACTGTCTTTGAGCCTGAGTCTCCTCTCTAACCAAAAGAGATGATACAGTCCTGCCCCACAAGCCTGCTATGGGACAAATGCTCAGAACATATTTACTTCATGTCCTTTATCCAAGTGGCCAATGAAGAGCCCATGAATATCCATGGGCAGGTGGTGCTAGGGTCAGAAAATGATTTAGAAAGTTCTACTTCAGTGGTCCCCAACCTTTTGGCATCAGGGACTGGTTTCGTGGGAGACAATGTTTCCATGGACTGGGGATGGGAGTCATCAGGTATTAGATTCTCAGAAGGAGTGCGAAACCTAGATCCCTTGCATGTGCAGTTCACAATAGAGTTCACGCTGCTGTGAAATTCTAATGCCGCTGCTGATATGACAGGAGGCACAAGCTCTGCTCTCCTGTAACTTACCTCCTGCTGTGCTGGCCCGTTCCTGAGAGGCCACTGACCGGTGGGGAGAGACTAAGAGTGAAAAGACCAAGAAGGAGGCAGCCAAGTCCCAAACAAGGCAGCAGGACAGAAAAGGCAATGTTTCAAAAAGATAACAAGTTTCAGGAGGCTGGATTCAAGGAAGGACCCAAAGATGATGCCAAATTCCGACACCTGCTAAGCGAGAGGACAGAGGGATGACAGGCAGACATGGTGACATCAAGAAAATACATGTGCTTGAAGAGAGAGATAATGAGCTGTTTTGGAAATGTTGAAAGGTTATTATTATTATGTTTTTTGAGTTGGAGTCTCACCCAGCCTGGAGTGCAGTGGCCGCTCCCGGCCACTGCAGCCTCGACCTGCTGGGCTCCGGCGATCCTTCCGCCTCAGCCTTCTGAGTAGCTGGAACTACAGGCGTGCACTACCACGCCCGGCTCATTTTGATTGATTGTAGAGATGAGATCTCGCCAAGTTGCCCAGGCAGGTCTCGAAACCGCGGGCTCAGGCAATCCACTCACCTCAGCCTCCCAAAGGCACGGGATTATAGGCTGAACCTCTGACCCCGGCTAGAAAGATTATTTTTAATTATACTAGAAACTCCCCAAGAATATATTCTGTAGATATCTGGCATGCAGAATCAGGGCTCAGAAATGAGGTTGAGGTAGGCAGCATGAATTTGAGACTTACTCTAGAGCTGTTGTCACTGAAGCCACTGGCACAGAGGAGTTTGCAGAAAGAATGAAACCAAGAAGAGACACCTGGAAAGGCACATGCTTCATTTGGGAGGCAGAAGAAAGGGGAAGGAGAAGAGAGTCCCAACTGACAATAAATAAATGAAAAAGGTAGAGGACACTAACGCCCAAAATGACTAAATCACAGAGAAGGAGACTGGGGAAGGCACCACTGTGCCACCAAGAGAGGAAAGGGAACTGGCACGTTAAGTGCTGCTGAAATGAAGGGGAAGGATGATGAAGACAGAAGAGGATCTCAGGCAGCCTCAGACTTCAGAGAGAGTCACTACAGAGAGACAGGTGTGGGACAGGCTCCAAAGGCGGGA